CATTGCTGCCCAGTGGGTGACACCATTTCGCAGTGCTGTTGGGGTGTCTCGTTACAGCCTCATGAGTGTGGAAGTCTGGGCTCCCCACCTGGCCTTTGCCGGCATGCGCCAGGGGCAGGACACAGTCTTTTCTGTAGTTGTAGTTTCCTAGGGCTTCCATCACAAATTTCCACACTCTGGGTGGCTTAAACAGACAAATTGATTCTCACAGTTCTGGAGGCCAAGGTCTGAAATCCCCGTGTTGGCAAGACCGGGCTCCCTCCCAGGGGTCTAGGGAGAAGACTTTCCTGCCTCTGCTGGCTTCTGGAGGCTTCAGGGCTTCCTTCACTTGCCGCCGCCTAACTGCAGTCTCTGCCTCTGACTTCTCATGGCCCCCTCTGCTTCTTACAAGGAAACCTGTCTGGATTTAGGACCCGCCCAGGTAATCCACAATGATCTTATCTCAAGATCCTTAGCTTATTTATATCTGCAAAGATTCTTTTTCCAAATGAGGCCACATCACAGGTTCCAAGATGTGGACATGTCCTGTTGTGGGCTACCATTCAACCCTGTACAGTGGTGTTTGGTTTGAAGAGAGCCGTGGTGGGCGACAAGTTTTCTGTTTTACGAGCTGCCCCTTCTGTGGTCCTTTGGCAAGAGAGACCAGGCGTGGAGCCCAATGCGGGGCTTGAACCCAGGACCCCGAGATCATGACCTGAGCTGAAACCAAGAGTCAGATGCTCAACCAACTGAGCCACCCAGGCTCTCCATTTTCTCAGAGAAGCTATATATTTTAATATCAAAACATAAAAATGGAATAGTAAGTAGAGACAAACAGTAAAGACAGCCTTTATGAGGGATTTCCCTGTAGAGAGGTAAAAAGTAAGCATCTGAGGGCCTCTGTTATATATGAAGGATTAGGGCAAGAACAAGAAGTGAAACATAGGGGCGCCTGGGAGGTAGTTAAGCGACTGCTTTCGGCTCGGGTCATGATCCCAGAGTCCTGGGACCGAGCCCCGCATCCGGCTCCCTGCTCAGTGGGAAGCCTTCTTCTCCCTCTGCCTTTGTCTCTCCACCCTGCTTGTGCTCTCTCCATTTCCTGGAGAGCTTTTATTTTTTTTTATTTATTTTTTTTATTAAAGATTTTTATTTATTTGACAGAGAGAGACACAGCAAGAGAGGGAACACAAGCAGGGGGAGTGGGAGAGGGAGAAGCAGGCTTCCCGCTGAGCAGGGAGCCCGATGTGGGGCCCGATCCCAGGACCCTGGGATCCTGACCTGAGCCGAAGGCAGACGCTTAACAACTGAGCCACTCAGGCGCCCTGGTGACTCATAAATTTTAGTGTCAAAATATAAAAAGCTTTTCTTCTGATACCTTTATAACTTCACCCTTTCTCTGCAGTTACAAGCAATGAATCTACTAAAGAAATAGATGCTTATTCAGGGACAGAAGGAAGAAGAAAAGTGACTCTGGTTTTGACCCATGAGGCCCGGGAGAATCCTTGAAACAGGTTCTGAGTCTTATTCAACATTTCATTCCCTGCTTGGGACAAGCGTTGGCATACATTTAATAGATGAATGAAAGAATGGCTGCTAGTGGCCGCATGCTAGAAAGGCAGGTAGAAGCTCTTTGGGTTCTGAAAAAGGATGGAGTAGCTTGGACACAAATATGATGGTGCACCTGTACGTGGCCCCTGGTTGAAGCTTTGCCATGTGGATAGCTATGATAGTAGTCAAAAACGGGAAAATAGATAAAATACAGTAGTCCAGGAGGTATCAACCCTGCTGTCTAGAACCAGCTTTATAGAGTGATCCCATGTGATGTTAAAGTAACAATCTTACCATTTGTCTCAGAATATACTTGAGTAAATTTTTATTCCTATGTAAAAATGGACCATACCCTCATAGGAACTAGTACATAGGAACAGAAGATGGTCCAGGAATTGGATCATAGACTACATGCTGAGAACACCAGAGTGCATGTATGTACTTAAATTCTGCTGTGCCTTGGGACTCCACTTGGTTGGAGGGGGGACTGCATACCTGAGATAAGACTGGAGAGATAAATGCAGTCAGGTCAGAAAGAGTACGATTTTTATTGACAACAACCCAGGAACCATTAATGGTAAGATGTCTGCTTTAATATGGTACTTGGCATAATTAACAGAACCTCACATATTTCCACTTTTCTAGGAGGGGCATACTATTTATGTTACTTTAACAAAATATAAATTGAATTTTTAGAAACTATTTTTGACAATGAACTTCCTGTTTTACTTACTAGAAATTTACTACGTTCTAAGCTGTGTACTAGACACTTACCCATTCTGCCTTTTTCCCAGTGAGAACATCATCCTTCTTGAACTCTGTTTTCTATTTTCTGGATTAAAATTTTTTTAGAGGGGGGCCCCTGGGTGGCTCAGTTGGTTGAGCGACTGCCTTCGGCTCTGGTCGTGATCCCGGAGTCCTGGGATCGAGTCCCGCGTCGGGCTCCCGGCTCGGCGGGGAGCCTGCTTCTCCCTGTGACCCTATCCCCTCTCATGCTATTTCTCTCTGTCAAATAAATAAAAAATAAAATCTTTAAAAAAACAAAATTTAAAAAAAATTAAAAAATAAAATTTTTTTAGAGGGGTGCCTGGGTGGCTCAGTTGGTTAAGCAGCTGCCTTCGGCTCTGGTCATGTTCCCAGGGTCCTGGGATCGAGCCCCGCATTGGGCTCCTTGCTCAGCATGGAGTCCGCTTCTCCCTCTCCCTCTGTCCCTGCTTGTACGCTCACTCTCTCTAATAAATAAAATCTTTAAAAAAATTTAAAAAATTTTAAACTATAAAAATTTTAAAAAATGGGTAGTAAATTGAGATGCCTCAAAAATGGCAGAGTGAAAAGCCTGCCTCTCATCTGTTCTTTTCTCCAGATTATCTTCCCTAAAAGCAGCTGTTTCTATGTATCCTTTAGACATGCTATAACCCACACAAAATGGGCACATTATTAACTTTTCAATTAAAAAATTTGGAGCACACTAGAAACTGTTCTGTACCTTTTATCTTGGCAGTTGTTTCACACACAAAAAACCCAGACCCTTCTTAACCCTTTTTTTATTACTGCATAGTATTTCACTTACGAGGCTTGTATAATGTAGCCAGTTCCCTACTGATGACTTGTGTCTAATCGGTTTTCAACAGTGGTAACAATTTGTAATTTTACATGTGTTCTAGTTTACCTGTAGGGTAACTACCTAAAGATGGAATTGTTAGAGCAAAGGATGAATGCATTGTGATTTTTAGAAGATTTTTGAGAGTGAAAGTGAGAGAGATCACCGAGGGAGAGGGAGAAGCAGGCTCCCAGTGAGCAGGGAGCCTGATGTGGGGCTCAATCCCAGGACCCTGAGATCATGACCTGAGCCGAAGGCAGATGCTTAACCCTGCCGCCACCCAGGCGTCCTGCATTGTGATTTTTTTTTTTTTAAAGATTTTATTTATTTATTTGAGAGAGAGAATGAGAGACAGAGAGCTTGAGAGGGAGGAGGGTCAGAGGGAGAAGCAGACCCCCCGCCGAGCAAAGAGCCCGATGCGGGACTCGATCCCGGGACTCCAGGATCATGACCTGAGCCGAAGGCAGTCGCCCAACCAACTGAGCCACCCAGGCGCCCCCTGCATTGTGATTTTAATAAAGTACCAGATTGCTTGCTCTCTCTCGACATCGTACCTATTTTGCCACCAGAATGGTCTTGAGTGCTTGTTAATATGCCAGTAGTGAAACCACTTTCTATTGACAGCAAACTGTCAATAGAAATCCATCTGTGTTCTTGCTCTCATTCCTTCCTTTTTCTGGTAACTTCTGTCTTTGGCTTCTGTATGAGTCTGCAATCCTGCTCAACCCTCCCATCCACTCTCCCCAGAATTCTTAATTTTGCGTCTGTATGGTATGGCCCCATTTTCACATACTCTTCATGTGTGAAGCCTCTCCATCTCATTTCCCATGTACTAGACACTTTAAACCTGTTTCCTACATGTCACTACCCTGAAGTTGCCATCTTACTCATTTTCTGTGCTGCAGGACTGCTGCTTCCTCTGAAACCTTCTTGGCTTCATCGCCCCTCTGCCCTGCAACAGCACTGACCGAGGACTTCTCAGGCATTTACTTCAGGACAGGGAGTGTTCTAGTAGTTGAGTATTTCACCTGGGCTACTACTAAATAGCATCCTAGTGGTGGATTCTTCCTGTGCAGATCTTCTCCCTTCTCCAATTTAGAGCCACGGCTCACCAAAAACACAGGTTGATTTGTGTTGTGCTGTAAATCTCCAAATACTTCCTACTGCCTGAAATCCAAACTCAGCACAGCTTGTAAAACCCTCAGTTCAGGTCACTATTCAAATAAATATCTGAGCACCAACTAAAACCATTAGGCAGTACTAAGGTAAGTGAGGTGGACCTTGCAATGTAATGAGAAAACAAGTGTTTAGAAGAAACACCTAAAGCGAGCGTTGGAAGCACAGAGGGGCACTCAGCTCAAACACACAGCAAGTGTACAAGTGACATGCTATTACTAGTAAATAAAGTCAGAAGAGCTCAAACTGTCAGCTCCTCTGTAAAGTTTCCCCTAACTCTTCCAGAGTTAGCTTCAACTAATCTCACAGAATGTTGCATATGACTTTATTATACAATATATCATTTTACTTTATAATTCTCATTTGTATCCCACTCTATGAACTTTCTGAAGGCCAAGATAAATTTTTTCATTAAAAAGAAAGAGAAAATCTACAACCAAAGATGGAGAGCTGTTAGGTTAGCTAACATTGACATTACTCAGAACTTATTATAAAAAAATTAAGTATTACCATAAATAACATGCCAGTTGCAACTCATGTTACTAGAACTGAACATAGGATTTTGCACTGATTTTTTTTTCTTAATTTCTTATTAACTGACCGATGGGTGTTACTTTTTCTGGATCCTTACTATCCTAGCCAAACGAAAATCTTAGTACACACATTAACAATGCATCATAATAATGAAAACCAAAACCAAAACAGAATACAGCTTTTATATTATTGAACTTTATGTACAAAATCATTTGATTTCAAATAAACATTTAATGTAAAAACAAACGTTCTTTTAAACTGAATTTTTTTTTTTACATCTACTGTACCATTCAAATGCTTTATCATCTTACATGATTTCTTCAAAATCTCTTATCAAGGGTACATATAGAAAAGCATTTTTTTTTATAAATAGAAACAAAGGGGTTTTTTCAGCTTTTATTATAAGATGACATAAAAAGTTTACTCAACAGAAGTAATTTCATTACTATTTGGGGGAGGGAATCACCAACTTTTTGTGCAAACAATGCTAGCCTTCTTTTAAGCATTAAGAGCATAACTGCTTAAGAAATGACATAAGCAATAATTCTACACCTACATCTCCCCTAAAATAATCTATTTTTTTTTACATATGTGCACAGCTTTAGCAAATTAAAGCCCGAGAGAAATGCTCGAGATTCACTATCCAGAGGCATGACCAGAGTTTACTGTAACTCATTTAGAGAGCTTACCAATCAAGGAGTCTGTAATGAAAGCTGCAGTTTCCCTCTTTCCTATTTTTCTTAACACAAAAATCAATGACTAAGAACTTAATACTGGATGACAAATCACATCCACACTATTAGTTAAATAGCCTCACAGTTAAACACATCTTAAAAGACCAATCAAATCAGTATTTACATTTTATAAATTTCTGAAGACACCATTAGAAAGCTTATATATCCCTTCATTAAACAAAATAGGGAACTGCATCTGATGGTGGTGGAATGAAATTAAAAAATTAAAAATACCTGTATTTACAGCAGCATTGATCCTTTATAAATAAAGAATATGAAAATGCAATTATCTTTAAGGATAATAAAAAATTGAGGTGATGTTACTCAACCACAGTGCTTGGAGTTGGAATAAAAATCTATTGGTGCTTGTTAATGTGCCAGTAGTGAAACCACTTTCTGTTGGAGAAAATCCAACTGCAAATATGTGCATAAAAACACATACATCACAGGGCAAAATTGCTCACAACAATTCAAGTCAGCTTATCTGTATTGGATATTCTAATCATGAAATACATTACAAAGACATCCTTGCAAAGAAAAAAAGTTATAACATTTTCTGGTTCGTTTTTATAGAACATTTACTTCCTCGAAAGTGGCATCTTAAAAATCCCAAACTCATTCTTCCCTTGGTTTATAATGAAAAGATGTGGACAGCTGAATTTTCAATGTGATTACCATACTGAAAACAACAACAACAACAACAACCCACAAATCCAAAACAGCAAATGTTCAAGTTTAAAAAAATATACTGGGTGAGCAATGCAGTAAAAGTATCCACATGAAAACAAAATGGTCAGTAACCTTGTAAGCCAACACGACATTTCACGGTCAACAATGTGAAAAATTGACATTTTCTCAAACAGGCATAAGATGAAGAAGTGCTATTTTAAAATTGTAAAATGAACTTCTGTAAAGAATCTTACGTTGTAATTTCTCATTCCAAATTGATAAATGATCTCAAAATCAAGGATCAAGGTTTGATTACAAATAATAATGCAACGTAATTTCCAAAAATCTTCAATTTCTAAAAAGGAATCACACTCCAATTTTCCCTCCCCAAAAAAGGTTTCACAATTACAAAGTAGAAAAATGGCCAGTCACAAATGCAAAAAACATTGTAATTTAAATATATGAAATCATTTCTAGATTATCAATTCAATATATTTCATAAGACAATTGCTGAAGTTAAAAATACTTTCTTTGAACTATTGCTTTTCATGCTCAAACCAGATTGTTGTAATGACATCAATGAAAGGGACATACATGTAATGCTACATGACAAAGTGAAGTTGAGCCCTGACACAAATACCCTTGTTGAAATCATTTACTTCATCTAACAGTGCCTGTTTGAAACCTATGATTACAAACGAAAACAAAACTCTTCCTAGAGGCTGAATTCCCTAGAATGTAATTTCAGTGTTTGTCCATAACATGGGGTTAGGTTTCTTCTTTTCAGAGTTTTTGTTTTTTGCTCTGTTTTGAAACCCCTGAGACACCATCTGCTTCCAAAGCTTTCTCTTTTGAGTTAATTTCACTAAATCCATTTGCTGTCCCATTTTGTTCTTCAGTGATTTCTTCATTTGCAGGGGAAGCAGATTCTCCTTTTTCTAATTTTTGCTGCATTTCACGGAGCTTGGTAACAGCTTTATCTATTGACATTATGCTAATAAGATTAAAGTCATGCATGCTGACTAGATGAAGCATGAAGTTTCGACATAAATTCTTCTTAATTATTTTCTGTCCATAGTTTTCTACAAACAGCATACAGGCATGATTCATTTGATTGTCAGCAATAAACCTATTTAATAAAAATAACACAAACATCAATAGAGATATAAAGCATTTTTGTCAAATGCAACATGGTAACTACGACAGACCAGTAAGTGATTTAACAATCAGTAAAACTACAGTGAATCTGAGATTCAATGACCTGAATGGACTTACCATTTTAGAAATTTAAAGAGATTTAATTTAACCAGAACTTCAACAGATGTCATTTCTGTTTGTCCTAATGAAATGGCATACAGCAGTATTAAAAGTAGAGAGCATTTTCTCTTGCCAACACCACTTTCATTAACTCTCTACATACACACTAACTGTCCCCTTTAGTCTCTTTCTTGACTTTGACGTACTTTCCTAGTTCAGAAGCAGTGTTTCTCTGCATTTTCACTTCATGGAAAACCTTTAAAGAAATGAAGATGCCACATTTGTGACAATACGGATATACCTTGAAAGCATCACGCTAAGCCAGACAGAAAGACAAACACCGTATGCTCTCACTTATATGTGGAATCTGGAAAAACAGAGGTGCCTGGCTGGCTCAGTTGGTGGAGCACGCGACTCTTGATCTCTGGGTCGTGAGTTTGAGCCCCATGATGGGTGTAGAGATTACTTAAAAAAATAAATTTGAAAACAATAACAAAACTCATAGAAAAAGAGATCAAACTTGTGGGTACCAGAGGCAGAAAGTGGGAGGAGGGCAGATTGGAGGAAGGTGTTCAAAAGGTACAAACTTCCAGTTACCAAATAAATAAAGTACTAGGATAAATAAATAAATAAAGCACTAGGAATATAACGTACAACATGATGAGAACAGCTAACACTGTTGTATGATATACAGGAAAGTCGTTAAAAGAGTAAACTAAGAGTTCTCAACACGAGAAAAGAATTTTTTTCTTTATTCTTCTTTCTTTTCTTTTTATTGTATCTATATGAGAAGAGGGATGTTAGCTGAATCTATTGTTATCATTTCACAATAAATGTAAATCAAACCATCATACAGTATGTCTTCAACTTACAGTGATGTATGCCAATTATTTTTCGATATAACAGGGGAAAAAAGCCACATTAAAAAAAAATTTGAAGGTGTCACAACAAATGTGGTTACAGTGTGGCTGTGTTGACAGAAAGGAAGTAGGGTGCCCCCAAAATGAATAAAATTTGAAAAAATCAAATTGAACCAAACAGGAGAATGGCTGCTCAGTTACCCACTGAAACGAGTGTCCAACAAAGTCTGTAAGGCCTGCCTGCAGGGGTGCCTGGGTGGCTCAGTTGGTTAAGCGGCTGCCTTCAGCTCAGGTCATGTTCTCAGGGGTCCTGAGATCAAACCCACATCGGGCTCCCTGCTCAGTGGGGAGGCTGCTTCTCCCTCTCCTCCCTCTCCCTCTGCCACTCCCCTCCTTGCGCTCTCTCTCTCAAATAAATAAATAAAATCTTAAAAAAAAAAAAGGCCTGCCCGCAGATATTTTAAAATCTAAAGTTTACCCAGCTACTTGCCACTTTATAATGCTAGTATAGCATGAACCCCAATAGCTGTTATACTAACAGAGTTAGATCAAGGAATGAAAATGGAACCCAATAAAGTAATAGTAGGACTAAAATTCCATCTTGAAACTGACATATCAGGACAAAAGAAAAAAGAGACTTAACCTAAGTTTCGAAATACAGAAATTATTCATAACTGAGTTTTAATGACTACACCAAGAACCAAACATTTTCTGTAAAAGGCTAGATGAGTAAACATTTTAAGCTTTGTAAGCCATATGCGATCTGTTGCCTTTTTTTTTTTTTTCCCCCAACCCACTAAAAATGTGAAGATTATTCTTAGCTTAAGGCAGTGTACAAAAAAAGGCTATGGCCCATGCACCCCAGACATCTGGGCTGGAACTATGTACCAATTCCTTTTTACTCCCTAAGAGTAAAGAAACAAAAGTGCCCCTTACCATTTATTTCATTATAAATGAAAAAACTTTGGCTGCTTATGCTATAGAAGAAAGCCTTAAATGAGGATCTAATAATAATAAAGGTACAGAAGAAAAATATGTGTATTGACAGGCAAATAGTTCACATACAGGGAAGGAGGGCGATCTGCAGGAAAAGCAACGCTCTGGAAGATAACTTTTAGCCACAGTGGCACAAGAAATAAGTACTGTTCTACCCTGACCATTATGCAATGGTAGTAAGAAATCAGAAAAGCTACTTATATTTTATTCTCCAGAATTAAGCAATTTTAAAAAACTGTAGTAATAGTGTGATAAGCAATTTTCAGATTTCTAGGTATGTAGCAAGGGACATACTATTTTTAAATCCTTGGCAATAAAATAAATGAAAATTGGGTCATTTAAAAAAAGGGACATAATAAAAATGAAAACTGCTGTTAGATGGAGCTAACACCTTTCTTACATAAAACCATTTTTCTTTCTGCAGTTATAATACTTTGGATTAGGGTAAGATTTAGGGCACACTGTATCTAATTTTACTAATATTTTTTAGAGGAGGGAGAGGGGAAACGGAGAATCTTAAGCAGGCTTCGCACTGAGTGCAGAGCCCAATACAAGGTTTGATCACACGATCCTGAGATCATGACCTGAGCCAAAATCAATAGTTGGACGCTTAACCAACTGAGCCACCCAGGCGCCCCTAAGCCAACTGAATTTTAAGTAAGATTCAAACATAAAATTTACAGAATGTGAAGCAGCAAGAAGAGCATAAAGGAAATGGAATATTTAAATTTAGAAATACCATACCCATGTTTCATGACATGGAGATTCCACAGTTTCATCACCTCTTTCTCTCCTTCGTTAACATCAGAAAATTCCTCGATTTGCTAAAAAAAAAAGAAAGAAAGAATACCTATTAAATACAGAAAAAACAAAATTCGTATTTCTAAGAAAAAATTATGAGACTATCATAAACAGAATTTTTTTAACAATATCACAATTCATTTATACAGCAAAGTGGCAACATTTGTTAACAGAACTTTTATTTAAGTAATTTTAAAAGGGAAACCCTAAGTTATAAAGTAGTTACCTACTTCAAAAAGACCAAAAACATGATACAAAATCACAAGAAGAAAATCTTTGTATGTCCTTCAGTTGGTAACTGTTTAAATGACACAATTATAAAAATTGTGGATTCAAAAAAAAAAAATTGTGGATTCCTGAATTCCTTTTAGAAAGGGGTCCTTTACACTAAGTTAAGAGTTTAATCCATATTAAACAACTAATAGTTTTTAAACATGAACCACTTCATCATAAGATTCTAAAATCACGGTCAATGGTGATAACAGTAATACTCACTGTAATGGTTTTTTCTCTTAGCCATTCAGGATCTTTTTCATCTTCACTATCTACTTCCATTTCTTGTGGACGGAGAGGTAAACAAGTATCACTATGGAAATATAGACGATTGTGTCCACTACTATACGTTCGCTGCTGTTCCACTTCTCCATCTTCAGATTCAAGAAATTCAGACATGCTTGCTTTTGTTCGTTTTGGTCTGATGAAAAGAAATGTTGATGTAACATTAAATGTGAAAAGAAATGTTGATGTAACATTAAATGACAGGGATAGGATTCTTTCTATTTTACACCTCTCAAATAGAGTACATTCCTCTGGCACAGGTTCCTTTCTAGGTATGCACACAGTAACTTCCACTGGGAGAATTCTTTAATCCCTCTAATCACTGTAGCAGCAGTGACATTAACATTTAAGACATAGGAAAAAGTTCTAAAGAGGAAGTGAGAAAATCACTACAGGGGCTGGGGAGGGTTATAAAGCAGTATACCACCTCAGACACTTAGCTAATAATCTGAAATAATGACTCCCACCCTAAACAGTAGCTCTGTCTAGCTCTCCTTTGTGCCTCCACCATCACCAATAAGTCAGAGAATGAGTTTTGTTCTATGACCTTTTTACCTACCTGCACACAAGAATATGTGTGATAGGTGTTCTCTTTACTGGCCCATTGCGACTAAAAGCAAATCCAGGTTGGCGATGAATATCCTGAGGATTTCCTGCATAGGAGCCATCATAACACTCGTTGATAGAAACATCTATTCTAGCACCCTTTGGATGATACTGTAACAAGAATGGCAAGATGCTTAGAATAAGGAAATACTAATTATCTCTACCCTACATACCTATCACTTTAACTAATTAAAAAGTACTTGTGGCTCTTAATGTTTTGAAAACTAAAATGAGCCACACATACAAAAATGGTGAAAGGAAAGTAAGAAGACCTGGAGTCAAGAAGATCTGTTAAAATCCTGGCTGTGACATTTATTGGCTTGGTAACTTTGTACAAATTATTTGTTTGAGTAAGAATAAAAAAATCACCACTTAATTCAAAGAGCCAATGTGAGGATTATAGAAGTCAACATAGGTGCACTATGCAAATATACGTAAACTGAATCACTGTAATTCATGCATATGGCAATCCATCAAATGCAAAGATTTTGGCATTTTGTGCAGAACAATTTATTTATTTATTTTAAAAGATTTTATTGGGCGCCTGGGTGGCTCAGTCATTAAGCATCTGCCTTCGGCTCAGGTCATGATCCCAGAGTCCTGGGGATCAAGCCCTGCATCGGGCTCCCTGCTCAGCAGGAAGCCTGCTTCACCCTCTCCCACTCCCCCTGCCTGTGTTCCCTCTCTCGCTGTGTCTCTCTCTGTCAAATAAATAGATTTTATTTATTTAAGAGCGAGAAGGGGAGAGAGAATGAGATTGAGAGAAAGAACATGAGCGGGGGGTGGGGCAGAGGGAGAGGGAGAAGCAGGCTTCCC